CAAGATAAAGACAACGATATTATGATGATGGTGAGCATTGTCCCTAAACTTTTTCCAGCTTGCAACTGTAAGCAGTTTTGTCTAGTATCGGCCGCCAGGCAGTCATTCCATAGAAAAGTGCTTGGTATAGCTTGTAAACTAAATATATGTGGAGTGCGTTCGTGACCATTCAGAAACTTCTTCGATATCACTGAAAACGAGAAAGGTGTACTCTTTGAGGCCAAAATAAGATCTTGGAAGAAAACTAAAATATTTCATTTAAATTGGCTAAGGTTCAGTTAGCGAAGAAATTCATAAATTTGACACTTTACTGATGCGAAACCATGCAAAAGCCATCACAACTGAGTATTATTCTTCCAGGTACTTTTCATTTGCTCAAGAGTCACTTTTTTTTATGGGTAAGGACTCAATCAGTTGGGTTAATGTTGGGGCCATAGGACTCAAGGTATATCGCTGCGTGACTCCTCTAATTGGGAAAGGTTGCAAAAATACGCTTTCCTTAAGTACAGCCATCTTCATTAAGTCACCCATTGGTTCAGTGATAAAAAAAATTTCTTAGTGATTATTTTTTCCCTTCGGTCTCGAAAGCTATAGCTGCTTAGTTGAGATGGGCCGTCATTTTAGTTGTACAACCCCTTTGCACCTTAGGTGTCAACGGATTACTCTCTGTCAAATGCTTCAAAAATTTTTGCAATGAAAGTAAATAGAACAGACTTGAATAACCTTAAATGATCGCTGCAGAAACTTTTTTTCGGTTCTTTAAAGTCACATCACCATTAAAATCCCGCCAGTTTCACGTCTCATACTCTCATTTAATTCTGAGTATTCAATCGAAATAGAGATGTCCATTGAGTTGAACAATTTTGGAGCTATTAGACTTCAACTGCGAGTTTTGAGCAGCGGGAACTATGAAAATATAAATTAATGCTATTGAGTACTCTCTAAATCACATTAAATGGAATTGTTGTCTTCGCCAAATATTATTATTTTGCCAAATTTATTTACTTTTAAGAGATATATTTTTCCACGTTGCAACATATATTTATAAAATATTTATTAAAATTAAGATTGTTGGATACAAAAATATTTATATACCGAAATTCCTCCCACAACAAGTTTCCAGTGGCGCCAGTGCTCTGTATATTTACATATTAAAATATATTTCCAAATGTTATGCGCTCAAGTATGCATGAATATATATGTATGTATGTATGCACTTTCATGCAAATGAATTATTTTGAGTGGAAAATTATTGTGATTGCGTGTTTGTGGCATAAGAACATATATATACTTATATTTACATATATATGTAGCTATAAATGTATAGTGCAAGCAACTGCAATGAGAATAATGTGGTCATAGAAAAAGCTTGACTAACCAGCTTTTAACTGCAATTTGAACTGATGCAAAACGGATGGAAGCTCGGAAGCTCTTCGAATCGGAATTATGTACCATAAGAAAAGTTCAAAAATAATATAAAAAAGCTTGAAAAAATACAATATTAAATATTTCTTAAATACTTTTTTCACAATATATGCAGATAAAATATTTTAGACGATTTTATCAGAAAAATTAAAATTTTTTTCAAAACCTTGCGCACTTCTTTTCTGCATAATTTAAACACTTTTACATTAATTTAAATAAAAATATTAAAATAAAAAATATATATGCAATGAAAAAATATAAGTTGTTTCAAAATAAACAAACTAAAAGTTGGTTCTTATATAAAAAAAATACTAATCAATAAACAGTAAAAAAACCATAAACTAATCGTTTCTACATCTTCCATCTACTAAATGCTTGGGCGCAATTTGGTTATCGCTGTGCCAAATTCTACTGCAGGGTAATAATTCTTCGGCATACCTACTCAGTTAAGTACATTATGTAACATATATTTGCTTATGTGCAATGCATATAAGCCAACGCGCCTGTGTAATGATGTTAATTTACCGGAAATAACTACTAAATCCAACAAATACATGTGTGTGTGTGTTTGTACACAAATTGCTTCGGGTGTTGATTATGTAATTTTGTGTTAATATTTGATTTTCCACACAGTTGGTGTAATTCGGTTAGACAATTTTGGTTTAAAATAATTTAATAATTCAGGATTTTGAATAATTAAACTACCTTCGAATAGTTATACACACACAAACATATGTAAATTAAAATTCAAAAGCTTCAACCGAAAATTAACTTAAATTAACTGCACACATAATATACACATAAAACATAACACACGAAATAAATATTGATATAATGAAAAAAAAACAAAAAAAAAGAAATAAAAAAAATAAACAATTAAAAAAAAGCAAAAAAAAAAAATAATAATTATATAAAAAAAAATAAATAGAATCAAAAGACATATAATAAATTAAAAAATAAATAAAAAATAATAATATAAAACAGATCAAACTACAATTTAATTGATTTAATTAAAACATAATCTAATATAATCAATTAATATAAAAAATTTAAATAGTAATTTAAATAAAATAAAATAACATAAAATACATAAAACAAAAAAGCAAAAATTGAATAAAACAAAATCAAAAAAAAAAATACAAAAAAAATTAAATAAAATGAAGAGCACAAAACAAAGTAAAATACAAAATTTAAAAGGATATAAAATACAATAAAATACAAAAATAATAATAATTAAAATAAATAAAAAAATGAAAAAAAAATTAAAAAAAAAAATTAATTAAATTATAATAATATATATAAAATCCAAAAAAAAAATAAACCAAATATGATGAAATAGAAAAAAAAAAACAAAAAAATATACGAAAATTAAATAAATATAAAACAAAATAAAATACAAAAATAATAACAATTAAAATAAAGAAAAAATTAAAAATATTACTTAAATATAACAATGTATTTAAGTATAAAAAAAATTAAATCAAATAACATGAAATAAAAAAATTTCGTGAAATAAAACAAATATACAAACAAATAAAACTAATTAAAGCAAAATAAAATAAAAATAATAAAATAAAATAAAATAAAATAAAAATAATAAAAATAACTAAATTAAAAAACTAATGCAACAAAATAAATAAAAAAAGAACAATTAAAAAATAACAGAAAGTACAAGAAATTAAACTAAATTATAGTAAATTAAATAAAATTAATTGAAATAAATTAAAAAAATTATTCGAATAATGTAAATAAAAAATTTAATTAAAGTTAAATTAAAATTAAAAATAAAACAAAGAAAAATACAATTAAATTCAATAAAATAAAATTTAAAAAATTCAATATATTAAATTAAAAAAAGCTAATTGAAACTAAATTAAAATTAAATTAAAAAGAATAAAAAATAAAAAGTAAAATGGAACAAAAGTAAACAAATCCTAAGAAATATAATAAAATGAAATATAATAAAATTAATTAGATAAAAAGGAATCAAATTAAAATTAATTTTATAATTCAAGTTACATTAAAATAATAAAAATTATAATTGAATAAAATATTTAAAAATAATAATGGTGATACCGAAAATATAACACAATAAAATAAAAAAATAAAACAATGAATCCAACAAAATATGTTAAAAATAAAATGAAATATCTTAATCAATATAAAACAAAAATAATATCACTTAAAAGAATTGAATTGCAATAAAACAAAGTTAAATGAAAGAAAAAAAAAGAACAAAAGTAAAAGAAATATTAAATAAAATAATTGAAAGTAATATAATGCAATGAATAATAATAAAGTAATGAATTCAAATAAAACAAAACATATAATTAAATAATAACAAATAAAATAATTGAAACTAAAATAAACAAAATAAATTAAAATTAAGCTAAATGAATTAAGTTTAATCAAATAACAACGAATAAAAAAAATTACAACAGAAATCAAAAGCTAAAGAACTAAAGTGAAGGAAATAAAAAAAGCAAAATAAAATAAAAAAAAAAATTTTAATAAAAATAAACAATAAATTACGAATTGGAACCAAAAAAATATAATAAATGAAATAAAATTAAACACAAAAATGGAGATTTTATAAAGTAAAAGCAAAAAAACAAAAATAAAAATAAAATGAAATAAATAAGAAAAAATAAAGGAATTTAGAACAATATTATACTAAAAAAATTAATTAAGTCTTTTTCAGAGGCTTTATTTATTCAAATATTCGATCGAAAAAATCAAAGTATTAAATTATCTTACATTTGAAGTGTTATTTATACAATTTTTTTGCAACTTGATGAGATGTTTTTTTTTTTAAACTTAATTTTTTTTTTTCAAACTTAGAATACATTTCCCAACTTCTTCTGTATTTTTTTTAGTTAATATAGAAGGGACACTCATAAGAATTAAAAATGCATCGCCGACCTACATCAGCGGCACCATTTTACGAATACAGACTACAGACGCTTCAGAAACTTCATCACAACATTGGAAAACTCCAATATTTTTTTCGTTTACCGCCATAATTTCCTTCCATTTCAAAAAAATTGCTGAATAACGTTTTATCCGGCCTCTAAAGCAGAGTACTGCCTTAAGTTAAATAAATTTATTTAATTAAAATAATTTGAAGTTAAATAAAGTAAAATAAAATAAAATCAATAAAAATTTATTAACCATTTTTATGTGTACGCAAAATACATGTAAAATCAATAAATAACAAAAACCTTCCGCTTACAGTATTTATGTTCAATTATGTCTTCATACCAATAGGATATTAATTCCTATCATCACAATCAATTCACTGTTGTCTCCTTAATGAATAATAATCACTCTTTTCCTTTATGCAACCTGCAAAAAAAAAGTAGAAAATAATAAAAGTCTGCATAAATATAGATATTAACACCATTTCTTTTTTCTTGTTCATTAAATTATATATGACGATGTCGGCGTGTTGTAAATAATTAAATGCAATATCATTACTTCATTAATTCTCAGTCAGATAAACAAACATACGCACACACATTGTCATGCTTACACATAAAACTCATAAAGAATTGTATGCTCTTCTTTATTCACAGCAATATCCGTCGCTGTCTCCTCGTGGACCCTGGTAGCCATATCCTGCGAACGCTACTATGCCATCTGCCATCCGCTAAGGTCGCGTACTTGGCAAACGCTCAATCATGCGTATCGCATTATAGGCACCATTTGGGTTTGCAGCCTAATTTGCATGGCGCCCATAGCGATATTTAGCCAATTGATGCCGACCAGTCAGGGTATGTATAAACGTCTTTATATACATTTATTTATATGAGGAAATATTTATTACATAATTTTAAATACAAACAATAAAATAGCATAGGCACACAGGCACGCGAAAAAGTGTGAGTGCTCAAAAAACCATAAATTTTTATTTTTTCTATGAAAATTTATTGCTGATGATAATAATGAGCTGAATTTGGCAGCACAAGGCACAGTGGGTTTGAGTTCTGAGAAATTTTGGGACGGAACGGTCTGAAAACTCTAAATTTATTTTAATGGATTTAAAGATTTTCTGCAAAATGGAATCGAAATAAATAAGAAATAAAAATAAAACAATTAAAAGTAATAAATAAATAATAGTAATAAAATAAAACTAAAAATAAAAAATAAAATAATATACATTAAAAAAAGGAAATGAAAAAATAAAACAAACATAATTTAAGAAATTCAAAAATTATTAAGTGTAATTAAATAAAGCAAAAATAATAAATATGTTATTATAAAAAATTAAATTATTTAAATAATAATTAACTTAATTAAGAATTGAAATACAATAAATATTTATTATTAAAATTTAATAAAGTAAGATAAGATAAAAAATTATAACTAAAATGATATAAAATAAAATAATTTAAAATAAGTTAAATAAATAAAATAATATAAAAAATAAAACAAAATAAAATTAAAAAAAAAATTATTTCAAATGAAATTAAATAAAATAAAATTAAACAAAATAAAAATATAAACTGAAATAAAAAAATATTAAAAAAACATTAAATCAAATAAAATAAAATAAAGAAAAATAAAATAAATAAATATAAATTAAAAAAAATAAAATAATAAAAATAAAAAATAAAATAATAAAAATAAAAAATAAAATAAAATAAAATAAAATAAAATAAAATAAAATAAAATAAAATAAAATAAAATAAAATAAAATAAAATAAAATAAAATAAGTTAAAATAAACTAAAATAAAATAATATAAAATATAAAGAATTAAATTAAATAATAAATGAAAATAATATTAAATAAAAATATAAAATAAAGTAAAATAATCCTACAATAAGTAAAGTAAAATTATGTAATATATTAAAATTATTTATAATAAAATGTAGTCAAATGAAAAAAAAAAAATTTAAAAAAATTAAAAATAAAATAAAAATAAAATAATGGTGCTCAACGGCTTCAAAGGTTGATAACAGTTGTCAGGTAATAGATATATGGTTATATTCCTGAAATCAAAGCTCAATCGTCACAACGGAAATTCTTAATGCCGGAAAAAGCAGGACAAGTTCGGTCATATCCATTGTCATGGCGTAGTGTGGCAGGTGCTCTTAATGCCAACACACAGTTCTTGCCACGATTTCTATTTCTATGTTTTCTATTGAAAAAACTGGTACTTCATAGTAGTAATTTGAGTATTGAAAAGGGAGAAAAGTCCACAGAATTCACATCTCGTAGTTGTACGATGATATTTGTTGCTGTTTTGGAAAAATTAAAATTAAAAATCTTAACAAAAACAATCTTGAGTGGCAAAGTCCATAGATTTTCTTTCCATAAATCTGCCCTATTTCCACACATCATACGTACATAAATCCCTTTGTTTATTGCCTGACCTGTTGACATTACCTTGACATTGATACATATTTTCGGCGCAGTTGGAAAATGCCATTCCAAAGCTTGCTGCCTCATCATTAGTAACAGTGCGTTTACTCATTAGAATTTTTGAAAGCTAAGAAAGACGCAGTTATTGACAGTATTTATATCTGAAAAATGTCTTCAAAGGAAACCCGCCAATCTAGTCGTGATTCGACGTATCGCTGTCTAATATCTAGAAGAACGCAAGCAACTTTCTTCAACTTTTCCTCTGAGCGGTCTCAAATTTTTGATATTAAATATTTGAAGCTACTTCCATTCATTGGAAGTGACTTTACTAATCGCTTCAGCAACATGACCAACTCACTGGCCAGTCGTGGTCTTTATATTTTAATTTACAATGAGCTGACTGACTGACATAATTTAGTCCATACCACATTAATTACTTTTATATATGTATATATATATATATATATATATATACGAGTATATATAGCAATAAAATTTAGCCATCTTTTTGATTCCAAAGCAGCTCTTGTTTCGATTAAAAATTATTTTCCTACTACGCATAAATTTTCTACCAAGCACCTAACCCACTAAAGAAAATTTAATATTTTTTATTCTTTTTATTTTATTATAAATTTTATTTTATTTTTTTTTTTAGGAATTTTTCTTTTTCGATTAAATATTTCTAACAGCGCTTTGGATTCGGCTCGCACCCATGACTCTCATGTCAGCTAGCCCTATTGTGCACCAGGGCGTATGAGTAACATTTTTATTATTTATTTCGTACGATGCAAATGAGACAAAGTGGCGCGCTGTAGGCGGATTTTAAATGGGATTTTATGATTTTACACGTACTTTGCGATGCCATAAAGCAGAGATAAACATATTTTTCAATAAAAGTGCTTAACGTGATGTGCAATTTATATGTGTATATGAAAGTATATGAATTTTTAAACAAATACAATACATATATATATGCTGCCGCCGAAATACAAGCAATGCATACTCATCAGTTTTTTATTTAAACTTAAGCTTTAATTTCTTTTTAAATCCTTATTGTTGTTGCTTATTTAAATTGCACTGGGGGAACAATAAAAAAATAATAATTTCCATATTCGAAAAAATAAAAATTGTACGCCATTTTATTTATGCTTAATATTTATTGTACTTAAAATATCTCCAATAATTACTCATATACTTCTCCTTCATATGGTAAATATTTTTCACAGCTTATTGATTTGTTTTTCTTTTTGTTCTCCTCACTCTCCTTCTCTCTTGCAGGTCTACGCAAATGCCGCGAACAATGGCCTGCCGACAGTCTCGCCTACGAGCGTTCCTTTAATATTTTCTTGGACCTCGTCTTGCTCGTGCTGCCACTGTTGATACTCAGTTTCGCTTATATATTGATTACACGCACCCTCTATGTGGGTATGCAGAATGAACGTGCCATGATTTTTGGTAGCGTCGAACCGAATCCGCCGTTAGGTGGTGGTGGTGGGGGTGGTGGTTTGTGTGGAGCAAGTCTCGATGGTGGTGTTGTTGCTGGCGGCAATGGTGGTAAATTGTGCACTGAGCTGGATGTCTTAACCAGCGCTTTAGTACCAAATACTGTTACAACAGCAAAAACAACAACAACAACAACAGCAACAAAGCCGTCAAGCCGATTTCAATTCAATGTTTCATTTCGCGTGCGTGGGCATAGCACTTGCATTGCTACAGCTAATGCCACTGATGAGTTTTTCGACACACAGCAGCAGCAACAGCAACAGCAACAACAACAACGTAACAGCGCGTTGAAAAAATCGAAATCACACAGTCGCCAGTTACAGCAGCAAATTTTGCAAGAACAACAGCAGAAACAATACGCGGAGCAGAATCAACAATGTTACGGTAGGTACACAAACAAATACACTGACAGGCGTACAGTACTGAAAAAAAAACAGTTGAAATGCACTAACTCACAATTATTTACTATTTCTTAAAATTAAAAATAAATAATCTGAAAAATTAAACTTAAAAATATTTGAACGCAGTAAAAGTACTGCCCTGACTTGCCTAGGCGTCGATTCATGTGCGGTTTCTCTTGTACACCAATCGCTTGTATGTAGGGTCGTAAGAGCTTAGATCACTCAGGATCGATTCTAAGATTTGTCAGGCAGAGTAACCCTACAAGCTGTAGTTCTCTCGCCTCCTCTATGGGTCTTGGCAGTGAAACAACTGCTGCGATGCATGGTGGAGGAGTGCGACTGCAAGGCCACAGCGTATCTGGACGATCTGGTCGTTAAAGTGATTGGCAGATGCTCACAAACTTTATGTGTCGTCATGCAGAGCGGACTACGGCGGATTGAAAAGTGGGCTTTTGATGATAGAATGGGCATCAACACACATTACTTGTTCTCTTCACCAGGAATAATAATTAAAATTAAAAAAATGTGAAAAACATTAATTTTATAATCTTTTTAAAGCATTTTCAAAATTTTTTTAAAATTTTCCTTAAATTATCGTTTTGAAATTTTTTATTTTTTGTTTTTTTTTTTATTTTACTGAAGAAGCAAAATGCTGTAAGAAATATTTCTTTTTTTTTAAGTTAAAAATTTTCATAATAAAATAAAAAATTATATAACATTAAAAAATGAGTACAATTAAATCATAAACGACATTTTTGAAATAAACATTTGCATTTTTAATTTTTTTAAAGTGTTTATTAAAATGACAAAAAATTTAAGAGATAAAAATGTGGAAAATTAAAACATAAATGATATTTAAAAAAAAATTGGTTTTTTTAAAACTTTTTTTATGCTATTATTAAAATAACAAAAATATGTAAGAGATAAAGATATGTAAAATTAAATCAGATATGAAATTCTGAATAGCATTTTTGGAATTTTTCGGATTTTTTATGCTATTATTGAAATGACAAAAAAATTTAGAAAGTAAAAATGTGTAAAATTAAATCTTAAAGAAAAATTTTGGTTTGTTTCAACAGTTTTTTTTTTATTTATTTAATTCTTTTCTTGTTGGCTTTTAAAGACAAACTATTATATTTAATAATTTTTTTCTTAATAATTCATTATTTTAATTTTTTCGTAATTATTTTGATATATATTATATATAAATACAAACACAATAATTTTTCGATTTTTAAGGCACTCCAGCAAAGTTATCACAAAAAAAAAAGTAAAATAAAAAAATACAGATTTTCAAATATTTCTACTTATGCTCTTTCTTCTTCTTGAAGAGTCGCTTTTTAAAAACTCACATCCACAACTGATTACTGATCGATTTGGATGTATAGTGAAATTGTGCGTTATGCACATAACGGTAGGCAGGAAATATAGGAAAGTCATTATTGTTGTTTTTTATTTTGTTTTCTATATTTTTTTTCGTACATAGCTGTCAAAGTGTTGAGCAAGATGGAAAGGTAATAAATGAGGAGTAAAAAAAAAACAATTTAAACGAAAACCAAATGTACGCCTTACCGCCATTGCCGGAAGTCATGAAAAATTGTCGTCATTTGTAGTGTGAAAAAATTGAAGCCTGTTCACGTATGTACATATACTCGTACATATACTCGGTTGTCAAACTGGCAGCGTACATGTATGCATACAGAGCATTTGGTTCGAAATCTGTTTTGTGTGGAGTTTTTTTTTGATTTTCTTTTTTTGGTTTTTTACTGTGTTCATTTCGCCTCCCTCACTGTTGAAAAAAAAAATATCGTTTTCACAATTTTTTCCAACATACTCGAGGCTCGAACAGCACGTGTGATCCATGCGTATATTTGTGCAATGAATGTTGTTGATAATGACGATGATGGAAATGTGGCATATTCCTACATCAGCACGTGCTCAAAATGAATTTCGGAACTTTTAATAAATAGCATTTTTTTCTGAAACTCTTTGAGCGTGTGTGTGTGTGCAAATAATATGCTTCACTGCATAATTCACCCTAATTCTGTAAATTTACAAATATTTTGTGATTATTAAAATGTTTTGAACTACTACTATTTCCATTTATGTGGTAAACTTTGTTTTCTATGCATTTTTTGATAAATTCAAATTTTTACAAAAAGTTTCTAACCACATTTTGTATGGAATACTTTTGGTGAAACTACATGCCTACGCAATATTAATAGAAAGGAAAAATATAAATGTACTTTCGTTAAAAATATTTTGACGATTTGATTTAGTGAGAATTTTTGTGAGTTTGGAAATCTTTCACAGCATTTTGACTTAACAAAAATTATCATTTGAAATAAAGAAAAAAAAACTATTTTTCCCAAGAATCTATTAACTTTTGTCACATTTTTTTTATATATATAATTAAATAAAATAAAATAAAACAAAATAAAACAAAATCAAATAAAATAAAATAAAATAAAATAAAATTAAATTAAATTAAATTAAATTAAATAAAATAAAATAAAATAAAATAAAATAAAATAAAATAAAATAAAATAAATAAAAATAAATAAAAAAAAAATGGAATAATATAATATAGAGTAAGCGATTTTTGGCCGAGCTCCTCTTCTAATTTGTAGTTTTGCACCTTTATGTTTTTTCAACAAATTGAGGGGCCTATAATTTAAACTAAGTCGCCTCCGAACGGCAGCCTTTATTTCATGCCAGAAATACACTCGGAGGGGTTGACATTCAATGCTGGGGGGCGACCGTAATTAGTATAATTTACATTGATTTTTTATTCAAATTAAGTTTCTATAACTTTTGGATCGATTAAAAGCCCGTCAAAATGTCAAACCTCATACATGTTGTTGAGCATGGGTATGAACAGTTACGAACACTTCAAAGTTGGCTGTGTAGCTCCATGGCGTATAATGAATTTAGGTGGTCTTGAACAGGAATATTTTATGAATATCACTCAGCTCCATCCATTCTACAAGTATTAATTGCAGATTTGTGCTCGATGCGAAAAGAGATTGGCTTAATGTGTGCGCTCAGGATGTGAACTTTTCCAAGACCGAACCGGTCTAGTAAACCACCCTTACTCAAAGTCATTGAAATCGCTCTTTCTACCAATGCCAAATACCTATGCATAATTTTCGACAGCTAACTCACTGGAAACCTGAACAGCGTAGGAAAGTGTAAGACCGGACTCCACGCCTGTAAATCGGCGATCGGTAAGAGATGGCGACCAAGACGACATATTTTGTACTGGCTATACAAACTGTCTGGGGGTCAGCAGGACAAAGCTCAGCGCGCGGCCTCCACATTAACTCCTAAGAAAACCCCTTGAAATTCTGCTTAATCTTTTTTCTATCGCAATATGAACTGCAACGCTATAAGGCTAAAAGCAGTTCAACTATGGAGGACACGCCCAAATACTACACCACTCTCCGTCTACTTTTTCAACAACACTTTCTCAACAAAAATTTCAGCGAAGAACGAGTGGAAAAATGCGGTAGCTCTGGATAACAAAGCCGTAAACATCTTCAGCGACTGCTCTTTACTGGATAGCAAAGGGTTTTTAAGCGAAATTAAGCGCCAGGACGGAATTCGCTTCATGGTTACTCGTTCCTCACAATTTAACCTAACCCATTATATTATGATTCTGACAGCCAAGCTGCCATTAAGTCCCTGCCATGCAATCATATTACCTCAAAGTTGGCAATAATAAGCAGAAGAATCTTAAACAAACTCTCGACTGCAGACAAAACCTCCGTGGCTTGGATCTCTAGTTGTAGAGACATTCCAGGGAACTGCGCAGCCGACGAACTGGCTCGAAAGGGAACAACCTTGACTACTTTAAACTCTGTATAACGATCTCCACAGCAAAGTATCAAATATAACCAGCCATTTTACCAACAGAGCCAACAGCAGATAGCAGAGCAACTTCACGCGCAATGTGAAAAGACAAATCTAACTAAATCTGGACTACTTATAAACCGCATCTCCATACGCATAACAACCGGCGTAATAACCCGACACTGTCTTATACGGACTGAAGTGAAGTGAAGTGGGCTGTTTCTCAAACGACTCCTGCCATAGCTGCAGGTACATAGATGTAGAGGTATTGTTGAAACATCATCTCAATCACTGCCTCTCACTGCTCTCAGTGTGGTCGGTTAACGTTTTCTCGGAAATTTCTTTTACGATTGCCTTACAGAGGCAACATCGGTAGGCGTCGTTGATCTGCCGAATTTCATAAAATACTACAAATCGTTTGAGCATCATTTGGAAAGGTGAAAGCGTTCTCTTTATCAGTACCAACATATGTAGGTATCACAATAGGCCAATGGGCCAAGACTATAACCTTGAAAACTTGTTGCCTCGATTACAGTTCTCAAGAGCCAAAACTGCTTTAAAAGTAGATAAACTTCAAATATATATACATATGTATGCAATATTAATTTATCATTATTTTTTCGAGTCTTAATTTCGTTAAATTTCGTCCAGAAAATTACTTTTAGATTTAGATTAAATATAAACCAAAAATATGATGAAATCAAATAGAAAAAAAATTACAATATTTCCAATTTCCGCTCACCTTTGCGTAGATGTTTTAGTTTAATTATATGTGAATATGTGATATTTACATATATAATATTTTACTAGCGTGTTGTTGTTGCACATAACATGTTTTCGGCCAAAGGGCCAAAGACAAAACTGGTTGATTGACGTTTTGATCATTAAATAGTCATTTTGATTGATTCGATATTAGTGAGTGTGAAAGGTAAGAGAGTAACGGTATATTCCACACATTCAGCATATAAACAAGTATAAGAAGGAAGAAAGAAGAGCCAACACCGGTCATGCCGAAATGTTTATACCCTTTATGATGACATTAGATATTTATGATATTTAATTTTAGGATTAAATATTTATTCTAATGTATGAACAATTGATTGGTTGGGGATTTATGAAGAAGTTTTCCGA